CAGGTGGAGAAGATCAATTTGCACCTTATGTTGCACTCTTAAAATGGCAGCTTTCTCATCCTCAAAATGTCCAGCTTCCCCAGAGTCTTGCCTATTAAAAACCTTGTTTGTTCTGGCAGACGGGAACTGGCTCTCTGCTTGATCTCAAAAATGCATGTAAAAGCCTCTGAAAATGTCCATATCAACACTCTCCAATCTGCCACCATCAATGAGATCAATGCTCATGGATGGTGAATACAATTCATGTGCCTATACACACATGCACACACACCAGTCACCATATTGATCTTTGTGTAAATTAACATCTGCACTGGCCTGTTTCCTGACTACTTGTTCCTTTATCATCATAGCATCAAACTCTTCTGGTTTGACACAAGGCCAGCAGTCTACTTTACTTCAACCTGTGGAGCAGACTTTATTTGACCAAGAGGTGGCAGTGTAGCTCTCAGGATCCCACATGGCATGTCGCTGTAAATGATCTAAAAATATATAACATGTCAGATCATTTATAATTGAATTTATCTGACTGATATTTTTATACCTACAGGATCTTCTCCTTTGTGTCTCGGGGAGATTAAGCAGCTCAATTGGCAGAATGATTTGATTAAAGAAGGCTCTTTGGAGTTAAAGTAGGTTTTTTTTCTCTCTTTTCATGTACGTAATGCCATGTCTGGACATGACTGTCAACATTAGCTTGTGCTTTATTGAAAGAGTGAAAAAATTACTTTCTCAAACAAAGCTGGCTATTTTCAGTTATTTTGAGCTTACTGTATATACAGGTTGATTTCAATGAAATGTTTGTTAAGTAACTGAGATGTAGAGGAGTATAGAGATATAGAAACAGTTCCTTATTCCGTCTGACACACAAAGACCGATATTGATGGCAGAGGGAGTTAGATGGTACCACATTTTTGAGATTACCATATCTTTATTGTTTTCCTAAAAATATTTATTTTTAAGGTCTTTTCCAGTTTTAATTTGAGAAGGAAATCTTTCAAGTTATCCTAAAATAAATGACACTTTCAAAACCAGCCTGCTGTGAAGCTTTATAATAGCTACAGAATGTTTTAGCAGGACCAGGACACTTTCAACTCTATCTTGTGTGGTACAGTGTTGACCCCTTTGTGTATAATGCATCTGCCTATCAGCCCTTCGACTGTTGGGAATGTGCCAAGTGATGGCCTGTGGCAGGGTTTTCTTCTCTGGTGATGCTGGAGATTGTGAGCTGTTTCATATTAGGCAGCCTGCTATTATGCACATGTTTGGATGTCCATGGCTTACAGCAGCCCATTTCTTTACAGCATTTATTAATGTAGGCTAATGTTGATTTATAAATATGCTATT